GAGAGAGAGAGAGAGAGAGAGAGAGAGAGAGAGAGAGAAAGAGAGAGAGAGAGAGAGAGAGAGAGAGAGAGAGAGAGAGAGAGAGAGAGAGAGCATGTTTAATTGACTACGACTTCAATTTTGCATGATGCAAACCACAATGGAACTCTTCAGTTGACGTGCCTTTTTTTGTTTTTTTGTTTCCCTTATTCCCGACTTGTTCAATTCATTCTTCCTCAGCGGCGATGCTACGAGCTTCATCTGAATAAAATGCCTGTTCATTCTCACTGCATCTAGACTGAAAGTTGGCCCAAATACAACTATAATCTTCTTTGCATCGTTCCAATTGTAATGCTTATCTGGAAAGAGGACTGTAGTTATCGCTCCACCACGGACCATTTTAATATATCTAGACTTATATATATATATACATATACGATATATATATATATATATATATATATATATATATATATATATATATATATATATAATGAACCCAGATTAGTAGTCTCAATATCTGCAACAAAGTCTCCAAATCGTGAAGTGATATCACAAACAATATCTCGTGACCATTAGACGAAGAGAGTGGAGGGGAAATAGACATAGGAGAAGGTGGAAGAGATCACACAATAGTAATCCCTTCAAACCCCTCTCCTTCTCAGGGCTTCTTCCCTGTCCACGTCAACAACCAATAGATGACAACAAGTATAGTAATCCTGATAACACACAATAGTGTCACGTGGCACTTTATCTCGTGAAGACCATGAAGACACAACAAATTCCAATGACGTCGTCAACCTCAGGTGAGTATCCGATCTCCTTCATCCACAAATCTTGATCTTCCTCCTCTTCACAACCAGTCACCTCATGTAGACAACGTGGACAATGTCATGTCAGCAGCCGAGACAAGTGGCATACACCACATAATCAATGGAGACCAATGACGCGCGCCACATCAGCAATGTATACCAGTAGCAGCGCCACATCAATATGCAATGTAGACCAGGAGCAGCGCCACATCAACATGCAATGTAGACCATAGGCAGCACCACATCAGCATGCAATGTTGAGTAGAAGTAGCGCCACATCAGCATGTAATATAGACCATAGGAGCGCCACATAGACCAGAGGCAGCACCACATCAACATGCAATGTAGACTAGAGGCAGCGCCACATAGACCACAGGCAGCGCCACATCAGCATGTCTAGCGCAAAATGCAGAACGACTCTGAACGAGCTAGGATGTCGCCACAGTCCCTCTCGTTGTCCACAATGCTAGCGTACAACCAGCGCCGAGCCAGCACTTATCTAGCTCAGTCAAAGCCAAACCAGCGTACAAGCAGCATAGCAAGACCGAATGCTTGACTCACTCGAGGCCAGCCTTAAGTAGATGTTGTCGAGGTTATCTGACCTCAGGTGCTTTTCCCACAGTCGTCCAGATTGACTAACAGTTTAGGGCCCGGATTGTACAGCTGCGGATTTCTCCTTTGGAACTAATGTTGTTTGGGTACCTCCATACAAACAAGTGTGTATGCTTGACAAGTGGTCTGGATTGGGTACCTTTGAACTATGACTGTTGGGGTCACGACAGTTGACCAAAGTCAACTTATACATCGAGGCCCTAAGTCCTCGTGTGGGGTCCTTTTTGCCCCTGTTTCAGCCTAGGCTAATGGCGACCGAGTTGGCCCTGTGTTTTTTCCACGAGACATATGGCATGGGTTATTGCATTCCTGCCAACACATTTTTCGAGTTCCATCGCAAAAATACATCAGTTCTCAGTTAACCCACGTTCATATGCAACAACAATATCACGAGCAGTAGGTAGGAGTTCTTTCATACTAAACCATTTGGCCTCATATGGAGATTGGAACTTGAACTTTACCTTGTACTTCTTCTGAGGTCTTCCTCTGCCACCTGCAGAGAAAACATAGAAGGTGAAAACATAGATGGCCTTCATTCGTAGGAGGTGAAAACATAGATGGCCTATTTAGAAAGATATCACTTTCTTAGTTTTTCTATATAGGGTAGCAATTTAGACGCGTGGAAGACATGGTATGTCCTTAGGTGTGGAGGTACATCTATACGGTAGGAAGGTCCATCTCCACCTCCAATTACTTTGAGAAGTTCCCAAGGGCCGTAGTTGACAGGTAGTAGTTTTTTAGACATATTTCCTTCTTAGGAAAACTCTTTAGACTTAACCTAGACAAAGTCTCTTTTTTTAAATTGTGAAGGTCGATGATGTTTATTAGCTTGTTCATTTATTTATAGTTGGGCTTTCTGTATGTTTTCCTTAACCTTCTAAATGTCTTCTTCATACAAAACTGCGAATTCACGCGTACCCGGGGGTAGCCTCAGGATCTGGTCCCTTGTTAATACATCAATGGGACGCCTAGGCTTCCATCCTTTATGCAGTGCGTTAGGCGTTCTCCCTGTAACAGTATGTATACTCTTATTATAGGCACTCGCAAGTTTAGGCAAGTTCACATCCCAATCAATCTAATCAGGTCGAGCCTCACCACATTCCCTCCGATTCCAGTATCGCAACCCTGTTAATCCCACGTCTACAGGGTGAGACAACCCCATCCATATAGTCCAAGTTGGTCAGACGAGGATCATAAGGACGAGGCGACCCTGCATATCACAAGGATAGACGACCAACCCCACCCCCGTGATAAGCAGCGATCGTTCCCCACCATAGGCGAGGTGTCAACAGGATTACGACCCCATCCTCCTTTTCGGAGATAGTGTAGTCATCGCCCTTTTTCCAAGGAAAATGACACCATCTCGTTGTGGACCAGGAACCAAGTTCCGACACGAGCCTCACTGTCACCTACAAGGCTCACATCTTTCAGGAATATCAAGACACAATAAAGACTAGGCATTACATATAAACTTATTATATTTATTAAACCATGTGCCTACAGAACGAATATTTATCGTTCAGGAAGCCACATGTTACACACTAAGTCATAACTTTGCACAAATGATTCACACCCATCCTTCACAAGCAAAACACATTCAACATAAGAAATAAAAGAAATGCATGCTCAGAGAATCATTTTTACAGGGTTTGAAAAATCATTATGCACATCAATTATCTTGCTTGAGAACGAAGAATAATGTCAAAAATGACGTCACCAAGTAATCCATTACAAGTCCATATGTATCTGCCCATTACATGGAAAATATATCTTATAAATACTTAATCATAAAATCAAGTTAGCCTGTTGTATCAATGTCTGTTAAGAAAACTAAGGCATTATCTAGTCCCTATGAACAAACTTCTTCAAGCGTGAGCCCGAAACTTAATCTCGCCCACGTGCTCCATCCATCTCCTCAATCTCGTATGCCCCATGCTCTGTTTTTTTAATGATACGATATGGCCCCATCCATCGATTATCTAATTTCCTCGACCACTGCTTTTCAAGAGAAGAGTCATAGAGGAGGATAATATCCCCAACTTCCAACGGTTCCTTTCTAACCCGGGGTTGCTTATCTCATCTAACTTTGTCCGCCCGTCTGTTGTCCACAGTTGAAGCATTCGCCTCTACAACTCTTTCCTCAGTCACCTTTATTTGTCTGGCCCTCAGGTCCAGCAACTCTTATGTAGAAAGCATGGCCTTCATATCCTGTTTTTGCCATGTGGTCAAGAGACTCTCGATTGGAAATGTAGCATGTCGTCCAAACCATAACGTAACCGGAGCATACCCAGTAGTTCGTTTCACAGTTATATTTTCAACAAATATAGCACCTCTGAGATAAACGAGTCATGCTGACGGCTTGCCAGCACACCATTTGGCTAGCAAATTAGTCAAGGTGGCGTGCCCACGTTCGACCGGAGCATTAGCCTGGGGATGTGCTCTAGTGGTGTAACTATAGTTCACTCCCAGTCTTTTCATAAGAGCCTGAACCTCTTCTGCCCTAAATTCGCCGCCTCGATCCATCACAAATTCCCAAACAAATGGGTACCGAAGGTAAAACTCTTCGATACATTCTGCCAAAATTTTCCCGGTCCGTTCACGGATCGCACGCCCATCAACGAATCCGGTAAGATTGTCTCTCGCATCAAAAATGTATCTATACTCATTAAGCCCGGGCGGCATAACGACCAAATCGAGGTGCACAACCGCACCTCGCTCAACCACATACCGCGGATTGAGAGGCTTGACATAACGGAGGTTCGAACGTTTCTGACAGGGGATGCACGAGTTGCAGAATTTCACCACCATCCTACCCATACCATCCCAAAAATAGAGATGTTGAATCTTTCTTAATGTCACTCGAGCAGATCGATGTCCACCTGCCACTCCATCATGTAGGGCCGCAATCACGTCCAACTGTCTGGGAACCCCACACACCACTCTCTTAGGCGTACCATCGTCAGACTTTTTGAAGAGATGCCCCTGTCGAACGACAAAACCCTTTGCCTTTTCTCTTATTTCTGACTCTATCTCTTCCTCATTTAGGTCCCCATTCAACCAGAGCCCAATCTTCTTATAAGTTTCATCATATTCTTCCTCGCGAAAGGCTTCTTTGATCTTACTGCCTTCCCCTTCTTCCAACATTAACCTGCCGCGATCTTCCTGCATTAACGAATTAACGAGAAATATCATTCCCCCGAAGGTCCCGAGGACTTCGTCGCCTTGCTCATGTCCTCCTTCAATTGTAAGTGGCTCTTCTAACAGTCGTACCGGATCCGACAATGTCAACCTCATCATTTGTTCAGCAGATCGTTTGCCCCAAGGATCCTCCTCAATAAAGGGCTCTCTCCTTACACGTACTGAATGCCTTTGATAACAACTCGGCGAACTCCAGATAGACTTCCCAGGTCGGGATGAGGCATTAGTGATGTACTCCCAAACATTGATACTTAATTGTTGCTCATCCGCCTCCAAGAACCCATCCACAGGAACCGAGTCTTCTGCCTGATCTTTCGAGGAGTCCCACTCGATCCGACTCAATCCGTCGGCTCGATTTTGTGTTTGTGCAATACGCTCGATCTCGAAATCGAACATTCAGATATAGATCAACCATCGAGCAATAGTTGGATCCGAGGGAGAGCAGTTCTTTAGTGACTGCACCAGGGCGGTCGGATCAACCCGCAGGACGAACCGTCTTCCAAACACGTAGTTTCGGAAGATCCTGAAGCAATGATGCACTGCAAGGGTTTCCTTCTTAAATTGGAAATATTTCCGTTCCGCCTCATTCAGCGTTCGACTTTCAAATCTCAATGGCCTTTCTCGCCCTTCTCCATCATTTTGGATGAGGAGACCACCCAATGATGTGGGGCCTGCATCCGTTTCAACCACAAAGGGCCGATTCGGGTCATTGTCAAAGCACGGAAAACCCAGGATCAACCCTCCTTCTCGGAACTGTGCCTTGATATCGTTCACCGCCGCCTGTTGTTTCGGACCCCATTCCCATTCTTGATTTTTACGCATTAACTTTCGTAGGTGCTCCACCCTTGCTGCAAACCTGCGAATGAAGATGCGCCAAGATCCGCAAGTCCCCAAAAAACTGCGCACATCAGTGATGGACTTAAGCGAAGTCGGTCATTCCAGAATCTTGTTTGTCTTCTTGGAATCTGGCCGACGACCCTTCTCATCACACAAGAAGCCCAAGATAGTTGCCTTACTCATACAATGCCGAGATTTGACACCGCTGACCGTGAGGTTGTACTCCTTTAACTTGGACAGGACGTTCTCCACGTTACGGACGTGCTCCCAAACAAACTTTCGAACGCCTGGCAGCACCTCCGTCTCATCCTTCACGCGCGGCCGAGGTATAGCCAAGTCATCGATATAAGGTGAGGTCACGTCCGGACAAAGTGGCTGCATGACTCTCATCATATATCTCTGAACAATTGCTACGGCGTTCGTCCATCCCTGAGGCGCCGCACACATATGAATTAATCCCCTCGGCGTATGCATGGCCGTCATCGGCCTGTCTGCCGTGTAGAGAGGGAATTGATCATATCCCGAGTACAAATCAATGAGAGTGATGATAGGCCTACCTGCGCACGACTCAGACAGCTGATCGGCATGCGGAAGTCCTCCGGCATCACGAACCGTCACTGAGTTCAGCCTCTGTAGATTCTGCACCCATCGCAATACGCCACTTGGCTTGATGAAACAAAACCAAGGGGACGCATATGGTCCATACGAGTAATCCACAACCTTTGTTCGAATTTTACCGTCCAAATATTCAACGACTATACGGTGATCATCTGGATTTGGATAACGCGGACCTCGTATGTTCCACGGCTCGTGAGGTACCATATGAATTCTGATCATTGGGACCATGTCAACGTCAAGCCTCCTTCGCTCGTCATCATCGAAGGCGTACGCCAGATGAGTTTTCTTCATGACAATGACAAGGAAGTCCACCTCCTTTTCAGTAAGCGACTCTTCCTCTCCAATGATCGTATTCTTAATCCTCTCCTCCATCAATCGACATGGCGCCTTCACACTCTCTTCCTTCCTCATCCTGATCCACTCTCTTTCTTCTTTATAATACACTTCTTCTTCTTGCGTGATCAAGACGAGCACTGGCCGAGCTTTCTCGCCTACTCTATTGTACTTACGTTTCGCTCCAACTCCAAGTCGTCCACCTCTAAAAAAGGTCCTTGCTTGGCTTCTGGCTCCGCCAATGCATCACCCTCAGAAAACCCGTCGGGCCGATAGGTAAGATACATCCTACCAGTCCCGCCTTCTCCTGCCACAATCTCTGTCAATGTTTGGACCAACTTGGGATCCACAGACGAGTCTGTCGCAACGAACTCGATCGCTTGAGAGATGTTGGGTAGAGCAAGAGAAAATTCCTGGGGATCGCTCTCTTCTCCGAGGGATTCCATCTCCCTTCTGAGTCTTTCGGATTCCATGAAAGAGTAGGACCCCGGATTGAGTCGGTTCCTTGAGTTGGTTGGTCCTGTATTCTCACACTTCAGCACCTCGTAATAGCCACATACGGGGTCACACAAAACCACGATCATAGTACCATCGTGCTTGTTAAAGATGATGGATTCTGATCGACATAGAAAAGCTCTGCCCAGCAACACGGCATGCTCAACCCTGGGTAGCACATAGAAATAAGAACGAAGTTTGACTTTACCAACTTGTACCGTCACGTCACTCGCCGTTCCGCAAAAGGGAGTTATCCCACTTTCACCCACCAGAAATCCAGTATCTGCTCGATTGATGTTGACTCCTGCCCCCATGGCTTCTCTTTCCCGTATAATGTTCATTTCAGCTCCATCATCGATGAGAGCTGAATATTCGCATGGCCCAATTTGCACCTTCAACAACCCAGTAGCTACACAGTGCCAGTCCATTTTTGTCCCAGGCGGAGCCCAACTAATCTCTTGAGGAAAGATATCACTCATCTTAACCGTCATCACCTTTTTCCTTGACAGTCGGTGTCTGAACTCCTATCGGATTTTGGGTGACGCGGCCAAGAACTCCTTGAGCGTGAACAAATCGCGCCGACTCTCCAAAATCCAGTCCACGATCTGCTCAGTATCTAGCCCTTGTTCCACTGGAATTGTGTAAACTTGCTTCTTCTTCTTCAATTCTCCTTCCCCAGCGTCGGCCTTGCCCGTTTCTGGCTCCCTCTCCATGACTCGTTGTTTGGCCTGCCTCTCATCTTCGGCTCGCAGCAATTCATCCTCCTCGCCATCGTCTTCTTCAATCAAAATCGTCTCGGTTTCCCGAGGCTGACTTGGCCCTTCTTCCGGTGCTGCCCTTGGCCGCGACGGCCTTCGAGCCCTCCGAGTTTGTGGGAGACCAGCAGTGGCAGGTCGCTTGAACGCAGGACGGGACAAGACTGTGGTGGCCATCAAACGTCCTGCCGACGGCGATCCAGGTGGTGGTGCGCTAACATCATTAAGACCTCCTTGGCCGTCTCTGTCCCATCCTCCAAACAGAAAAACTTGGGGAAGCCCGGACCACTCTTCATTTATGTCGGCGTATATTTGAACAAAAGCTTTCCGACATCGGTTCATCTTCTTGACCACCAACTAGGCTCGATGCAGTATCTCTTCTTGACCTTCGCTCAAACCTTCATTTCCGGCCTTGGCATCCTCAATTATCAATGACTCCATCGTTGCTTCCAACTCAATCTGTTCGATCTCTTCCGGAGAAGCCAGTCGAAAAGTTGCTGGAAGATCTCGCCTCATACGTTGGAAAGCTTCCTTTCTCATTCCTCCCTCCACATTGGGATCGATGAGATTCCCTTCAAGTCACAGACCTCGCCTCAGATATTCGTATATATAACCTTACCGTTTTCATCTTTGGTAACGGTCTGACAAAACCGTATCCCATGTCCATCTTGGCCACAATACTTGCAAAACCAATTCTGCCAATTACCTCGGCCGCCCCCATTTCCTCGGCCTCCCCAGTGCCTTGTCCTCTACCTCGACCTCGGCCTCGGCCTCCTGCCTGAGGTTGGGGTTGCTAAAGAGGTGTCTGCGCCGCCTGTTCCTAGTTGCTTCCTTGTCCACCTCCTCCATTATTGCTTCGTTGCTTTTTGCTAGTGCCTTGCCCTCCTCGTATTTGATCCAGGGCCTTCCGTTCTCCTTTGGTCCATTTTCGAGGAGGCTCCTCTTCCTCCTCGTCTTCCTCTTCACTACTGCTACCACTCACTTTCTCCACAACGGGTGCTTTGCCCTTCCTTTTCCCACCTTTTGTCTGGACCATCATCACCTGTAGCCTTAGCCTTTCCTCCTCCATGTCCACCATCATGTTCCGCATGTCAGTCAGGGTCTTGTAAATGGCTTGATCCTTGTCCGCGCTTACCCCTTCCTTCTCACGGTCCTCCTTTTGCTGCTTCAGGAGACGGTAAAGCATTTGGTCGAAACTTCCGGCCAACATATTCTCCTTGATCTTTTGCCAGTCGTATCGTTCGGTCATATCCTTCATCAGTTATCGCTGCTCAACTTCTGAAAAATTTTCGAGGAAGATGAGGCACCGATCTTTATCTGGAAGGTCAGACACTAAGCGCGCAACCCGCTCAAACTCCGTAAGAAACTGCTTGGCCGTACCAAACTTCCGACGACTAACCTTCCGTAAGTCCGCTAGATCGAGCTGTTGATCCCCCAACTGGTACTTGTCCAATAATTTGGCCTTGAAGTCCGACCAGTCGCGCGAAGCTTGCACCAACTCCGACACCTCCTCTTTGTACTCGACCATACAGTATCGCTTCACCATTTGAAGCATCTTCTCACTCGACCATTCGCAGCAACTGCCCAATTGTTCAAACTTCTCCGCCCATGCTGAGGCATTGGTGCCATCGAAGAGGGGAACTTGAACCTTTGGCAGTTGCGCCTTCTGATTATCGGCCTCACGAATGGCTCGTGCGAGTTCCAGAATATCGTTGCGACGATCCCCTGCATTACTATTTGCGGGATCAGCATTTCCTCCCGTCATCTTGAGAGAATCAACACGACAAACCCACATTTCCAAGTGTCAAATAGATTCCAACAATTCACTCCAAACCTTGCCTTCTCTCTTTTCCCAGACATTAATAACCACTGACTACTTTCAATCCAAACAAATAATACACAATACTTAAAATCACCATAACCAGCCTTTTCCCGAGTGTCGTTCCACCAGGGACGACGGTAGTTCGCCGTCTTCCCCGGCAACAGCGCCACATGTCGAGCGCATCGGCCATGCACCCAGGCGGTCGATTTCGGCCCTGCGATCTGGCGGATCGCGCGGCCGAGAATGACCGCGTCACTTCTGGGTGGGGTTGGGCCGCTCCTATCAAAAGGAGCTAGCCCAGTCATAGTTGTTGGGCTCGATCCCTGAATCTGCAGGGTGGTAGTCTGGCGGCGGTACCTACTGGGCTAGCTCCTTCTCACATCCAGAGGGGAGCAACCCTTCTATGTGAAGGGCTCCCAATGCCCAGCAGACCCCCTTCCAGCGCTTAGCAGGCTAAGCCTGCTAAGCCAGCTTATTACCGCGGCTAGAAGGCGAGGTCGGCGGCCGACAGCTTTAACAGCTGACGTACTTAGCCGGCCTCGACGCCTTCGCCCCCGGGTCCTTGGCGCAAAAGCCGTATGGACCCTAAGCCATCCCTTCACGCCGCGGTCCATCTTGCCGCGACACCCCCTTCTTGGTCCGCTTAGGCCCTGAATCGCGCGGCTGTTAGGTAAAGTAGGCTCAACTTTAGTTTCCCCACGACCGCACACCAGCGCGGCCTCGTCGAAACCCGCGGACGACAGTACCGACCCACGTTATCCTGTACGGACGTCGATGCCGTCCTGCGTCGACGACGACAGGTTCAAAAAAAAGAAAGTTTAAGTCTCTTAGTCATAGCGCTGGTCTGAATAGACTCTGGCAACGTCAATCTCATCAAGTCTTCCAATCAAGTAAAAAGGTCAGACAGCGTCCGACGTTGAAAAACACGGGCAGATACCCTTGTCAGGGTTTCTGCCCCGACAACGTGATTGGGTTAGACAAATCATTTACCTTCATTCCCATATGTAATTTACGAATTGCCTTCTCTGAAATGTAAGACCGTGTCGATCCCGGATCTAACAGGCCACCGACTCGCGTGTGCACAATCTCAATATCCGCGACCATCAACTCACCCTTAGATTTAGCTTTCTTCGCCTATGAACTCCGAAGTGCTATGAGTTAATTGGCAGGCTTGTCAAGGGAATCGTCCAGTGAGATAGAACAGAGTGTCTCAGGGTGGTCTGAACGACGGGCGGAAGAATCCTCATCCTCTGCCTTGAGAGTTAGTAGGAGCAAATGTTACTCCTACTGGCTGCTCGCTTTTGGGTTTCGGATAAGTGGGCACCAAGGTATAACATGCCCCATACTTGAGGCATTAACGATTATCCATTTTGGACTGCTATTCCTCACGTATCATGTTCATCTTTTCCCAAGGTTTCCCGAATGCAGTGACGGAATGTTCGGGAAACGAGTGTGGCCTCCTCTTCTTTTTCCATTGGTTTTGGCCTCCCTTGTTGGTCATCACGGCAGTGACATCACCCTTCGCAGATTCACTGCCGCCGTTACCTCCTCCTCCTTCTGACTCGTCGAAAGGTAATTTTTTTACCGTATCGTCGTCAAATACAACAAGCATATAGTCCTAACGTTTTTGTCGACAGAGGACCCGCTTCCCATACCCACAAATCGGTTCCGATTTCACTACCGAAGCGTACGCCCCTTTTACCTGAGCGGTCATCTGCTGTCTCTGGAGAGCAAGATCGCGGAACTGCCGATAATTATATTTATTAGACTTTAATTCTGTCACAAACTGTCCACGAATGGGCTCGGGTAAAGCGCGTGAGTAGATATAAAAAACCTGGTTGTCTTGTAGATTCAATCCAGGTACCTACAATAGACGATCCACTTCACGAGACAGTGCATCGACAAAAGTCTAACGTTTCTGGCCTATAGTGGTGAGGTAATCAAAGACCTTATCGGTCGTCCTCTGATAAAAAAACCTCTCATTTATCTTTTGAAGAAATTGCTTGAGGTTCAGGGTCTTCGCCCACTCACCAATGTCTTCAAAACCAGCCACATTTACATCGGCCAACACCCATTCCTTAGCCACTCCTCCGAGACACGAAGTAGAGAAAACGACTTGACTTTCGGGCTCAACGGGTGCGGTTCTACAATAAGTATGGATTTCGGTTATCCACAACAAAAAAATTCCGTCCTTCTTGCTGCTGTAGGTAAACGACAATTTCATCTTAACCTTTTCCTTCTTCTTCAACTTTTCTGCTTCTTTTACCGGTTCTTCTTTTCGGCGGATCTTTTTTCCTTCTCTACCAGTTCTTCAGATTCTTTCTTTGAGGTTTCGGGTTTGTCTGACGTCATTTTGACTTCTTTCATTGCATTTTTCATCAACTTGTCTTGAGGTTCTATCCTTTCTTTTCCTTTGGTCTCTTTGTCAACTCACACTTTATCTTTCTCTTTCACTAATCTCAGTACCGTTTCCAATGCGGCGGTGTTACAATCAATCTTTAGCTTTTGGTGTGCCAGATAGGCCATCAAGTTGTTAAGAAGAAATGCAAGATCAGTTTTTGTTCTTTCAAGGTGAAATTGTTGTCTAATTTCTTCTGTTTTTCTTTCTCGCTGTTTTTTCTCAATTTTAATCCTTCGGTACTCATCCATTCTTTTTCTTTCCGCGTTCAACGCTTCTTCCAATTTTCGAACGCTTGCCAGCGTTGTATCCTCATTTAGTTTGGCCTTTTTACTGCTTTCCTTCTTTCTTCTTTTACTTCCTGTTCTTCTTTTGGCTCACCTGCAGCAATCCTCACCAGCTCGACGACGACATATTCATCAAGGGTCATTCGACCCTGATCAATAGTACGTTGCACTCTTCCGCTGACCTCCATCATCTGCACAACCGTTTCAGCCCCTCTTAGTTCGGTCTCTGCAGCACGCAGAGTGTTGTTCAACTGTGTGTCTATTCAACGTGCAACGGAAAAGTTCCAACGTTATTGTACCCATTGAATAGCCCCTCGGGCCCCGTTGAATAGTACAACGGGCCCTCCCCGTTGAATAATGTTCAACGGGGAGGGCGCGTTGGGCCTCGGACACGTCGCTGGACGCGCCTGGAGCAAAAAAAATTGTCATCCCGTTGAATCTCGTTGAATCCCGTTGAATCCCCATTGAATCCCATTGAATCCCCGTTGAATCCTGTTGAATCTCGTTGAATCCCCGTTGAATCCTGTTGAATCCCGTTGAAAAGAAAAAAAAAATGGACGTCAAGGTTGTTTTTTTTTTTTTTTTTT